CTAGACTATAGACTAGACTATAGACTAGACTATAGACTAGACTATAGACTAGACTATAGACTAGACTATAGACTAGACTATAGGCTAGACAATAGACTAGGCTATAGACTAGACTATAGACTAGACTATAGACTAGACAATAGACTAGACTGTATAATAGACTATAGACTATACTGTAGACTAGACGCTGAACTTAAAGCTTTTCTCTCAGTGACTTTAAGAATCAGCTATATATGTATTTGAATGCAGAAATTCAGTCCTTGTATCGAAAATGTGCCAAAATGTATTAGATTTCTGGTTCTATATCGAATGCCATCATCTGAAAAAAGACTATTACGATAATTTTTACTTGATCACAATTGCAGTAATTCGGCTCCCGGAATGCGTTAAAAAGCAAAGAGCACAAATTAGCACATTCGTAATTGAGTAAAGTTAATACAAATTTATATCGTATTGAACTGAGCGTCATTTCGGAATGAAATTAATTTTTATAAACTTCTATACGAAGTTTCAGATAAATTCAATTGCATAATGTATAAAGAATGTTATCTGTAATTTAATCATTGCAGGCATATTGATTAAAACCAACCAGTCGTAAAGTTGTAAAATTTTCGAGACATAATATCCACACAAATAACTAAAGGAACCGGTAGGTGTTATGTAATCTAAGACATAAGACTGTTACTATATTACTTCAATAATATTAATTTACTTGACTTACTAAAAAAATTCCAGTAAATTTTCTTGTTCAAAAGAAAAAAAAAAAAAAAAACTATAAACATTTACTTCGTAAAAATAGTTAGTTAGTGAGTATTTCATATCAAGTTTAAAAATAAATAAAAAATCTTGTATTTGAAAATAAAAGGGCCGGCCGACAAAGACTACTACGAGCTAAAATAAAGTCTAGCCAGTTGACAAGATTATACTATAAAGGGATTTGTTTATATTTGAAAAAAAAAACAGCAGCAACAAAATTTGATTTTTAAATTTCATTCAGTTCAAATTACAAATGAATGGGAATTATATTAAAACAATTAAAAAAAAAAATCTCAAACATAATGAAACCTCAAAACCGACATTTGTTGTGTTTTTTTACAACACCCATTCGTAAACCACAAAAGGTAGAAAATTGAGAGAAATGATGTCTGCTAATATTTAAATAATTATATAGTAAAAACCGGAGTATTAGTGGCAGAATACAATTAATTGGATTTTTGAACTTATTTGTCCAAGTATTTTTTTTTTGTGGTAGTGTTATTATTAAGCGGTCATTATGTGAAGAAATTTAGTTTAAAGAAACAAATAACTCAAATGTTAAGAGTTGTGTCTGACATTTTTCAACAGGAAAACGAAACGGGAGAGAGGGAGTTAAGTATGTTACAAGTTTGGCTTAAAACGACGTCGAGATGAATGTGACTGTGTTTGTAAATTTGTGCTACATGTCGCGTCAGATTGTTTCCTACGCAATGTTTGGTCTTACCTACACGCTTTTGACTTTTTTCGCCTTTTAAGTATGGACGTGTGTTTTGTCGTTGTTGTTGTTTTTGTTTCTTAGTCTTCTTTACAAATATGTCAGTGAGCGTTAGAAATATTGAATTGAATACTTACATTGCCCCACCGCATATGTTGGAGATGTGTTAGATATTGATACACTAGTTGATATTTGCATAAGGGTGATAATATTATTAAGAATCTACCACTATAATATGCAAATATCGAACAATTAGTTGTGTATATAAACGATTCACAGGGTATTACAGAGGCTTTAGACTAAAGCTATGGGTTATTATGGACCGATCCTCATGGAAGTTCATATAGAGATCTTGGTTTTTATAAAGCTTATTTATTTCGTATTCCAACGTTAATTTTCAGTATTATTTCTGGGTGCATGAAACTAACTTTGGTACAATTTTATACCGAATACTGAACGATCGTCATATTTATAACTGTTTAAATTGTATTTCTAGTAGTCGTGGACCGATATCGACAAGTTTTAACATCTTTAAGAAACCGTTTTAAAAGAGAATATTTGTAGAAAATGTTCATTACTTATTTCAGCATAAAGACATACATGGCTATATCATATTAGAATCTAATATGGACCCAGAATATACTTAATTTTATGGGTCTACGACAATATTTCGTTGAGTAATAAACAAAACCCCATCTTTTTTGATGGTGAATATATCGATCGATCGATACAGTTACTAGGAAACAGAAACAATTCCGATCGGAATATGTGACAAGCATTCAAGAAATCTGGTACAATATATCATTTTTTCGGTATTCAGTTTTTCCTTGTGTCCATTGAAAGTACGATAAAGCCTTAATAGAAGTAGCAAAGGATATGGAAATATCCTCAAATATTGAAAATTAATTTGGTATTGGAAATATGAAGATTCGGTCCAACTAGTTTAATATCTTACCGTCCAATACAACATGCAATTAAAGCGCTTAATAGGTTTTAAACTGATTACTGACAGGCCGACAGATTTTTACCCAGAAACCATTGTATACTCTATTAAAGGTTTGCGCCGCGCTAAATCAGAATCTGGTCTCTCCATCACTTCTGCAAATTGAGATATCGTGTACTAAAGTTTGAAAAAACGCCATTTTCCCATTTTGGAAACGTTTTAACAGCGTCAAGACAACTTTATTTATAAAATGTTGTATCAAAATCTGACCTCATATCTGGGATTCAAGATATCGTGTCCTGAAGTTTGAAAAAACACAACTTTTTCCTTCTTTAAGACGTTATAACAGCGTCAAAATAACTTTATTTATAAAACGTTGTACGCCATCTGACAGTACATTCTGTCAACTTTAAAATAAAGACTTAACATCAGACATATCTTCTTTCTCCTTAAGCAGGAGATCACTGTATACTCTTTTAAAGGTTTGATCTGCGCTGAAACAGAATCTGGCCTCCATCACTCTGGGATTCAAGATATCGTTTTAGTTAGTTAGTTTGAAAGGAGGATGTATATACATCAAATCCGAAGAAATACACCTAGGCCTCTATCGGGCCTGTTGTGCGCTCCTTAACCAGTGCCTCAGGTGGGAATCGAACCCACCACCTCCGGTCTACCAGACTAGAACACTAACCACTAACCTACCGGAGGCCACAGATATCGTTAAAAAAAAAAAAAAAAAAACGTAATTTTTAAGGCCCTTTTTGGGATCTTAAAATAGCTCCAAGATAACTTTATTTATAAAGTGTTGTATGCCATCTGAAGGTCCATTCTGTCAACTTTAAAATAAAGGCATCTGACATATCGACGAGCTTGAAAACTCATGGTTTTCGGCATATTTATGGTATTACTATAATCCAGAGGGTGTTATGCTTTGTAAATATTGTTTATAACGTATCAAAATATTGGTTTCACACCTATCTAAAGAGGTTCCAATCGACTCAAAATCCCTTTAATATCAAGTTATACTTTTTCCTTTAGAAAGCAAATATGTTGAAATTTTTATGCATTACTCCGTATTTCGATTCGAAATATATTTAGCATATAAATTCGATTTTTTTCATTTGTATTGAGTTACCCCGGGCAAAAATTGAGACTACTCCGCACACTTGTGTAAAAAGTACTCCTCAAAGGACTGGCCCAAAACTTATCCAAATACATGGAAAGAACATACTCCATTTAACACTGTGATGTCCTATATGAGGACCACGTAATCCCAAAACTATTCCGTTGCTTAAATAATGGGATTACATGATCCGCAAGATGGTCCCATGTAATGCAGGCTATGGACCATGTTGTTTTCAAACTAAACGAATCATGTACTCCAATAATGTATACAGAAAAGTAGTTTTTGGATTACTTAAATGGATCATGTACTCCAATAATGTTTGCAGGGACAGAGTAAACCCTCGGGTAATATTTTTTCAATATCATACAAGATAATACATTTTATATTAAGTTCGATATCGGAATTTCTATTCTATATGAAAGCCAATATAGTAAATCGGCCACTGCACAATTCATAAAGAATTGCACAAAAGATCTTTCGAACACATTTAAAGTAATTCGAGCCCAGAGCATGCGATATTGATGAAAATGTTAATAGAATTTAAATGTAGTTTTTAATCGTTATCATATATTATAGGGCCGGCATATAGGTATATAGGACCGCTTTATATTGTATATATAAACAATTTCGTTATATAAACATAATCAAAATACTTGAACAAAGAGTTCCTTTCGAGTGGCCAGATTTTGCCGGACGTTGGATTGAAATTACGATGGATAGCAGACGATGGTTAAGTAAAGGAGTATAGGGCCCTACAATATAAAGCGGCCCTATATACCTATATACCGGCCCTATATACCTTTACTTACCCATCGTAATTTCCAGCCTACGTCCGGCAAAATCTGGCCACCCGAAAGAAATGCTTTGTTCAAGAATTTCGATTTCTGTTTATATAACGAAATTGTTTAGATATACAATACAAAAAGTAACTCTTGCCTTATCCTAAAAAGGGGTCAAAATTCATCTACTTTACTGCAGTCTAATGCACTTGAAAGATATTTTTAACTATTACCACAAAGAATTCAAGACAAGAAAACCAAAGCGCGCTGTATTATCTTATCAAGAAAACATTTTTGCAAATAAAAAATGTCTGTGAACAAATTGCAAATTTTGTTTAAATTTTTCGATAAAATATCAGTTTTGTTATCTATAAGGTTAAACATTTAATACAGATACATTAATTTATTTAATTATTCATATAGAACAGAACCTTTTTTGCTAATGGTATGCTCCCAAAAAAAAAAAAAAAAAAAAAAAAATGGGGGCTGCCTTTATTTAAATAACAACAAATGTAGAAAGTAACAAAAAGAGTTTGTATGTTTGTAGGAGCACAGGCGAAACCCACTTGTGTTGTTCATTTATAAAAAAAAATAACAAAAAAAACACAAAAAATTAAGAGCAGTTGACGGCGCTGCCTTAAAAAACTATCGACAGCAGCCAGGTTGTTTAGAGCTCCAGTCACAGCAAATGATCAGTTCATATTTAGTGCTGGTACGCGACGGTCGACTTTTCCGAAAATAAAAAGTAAAGCATTTAAAATAAAAATAATCTTTTAATAATTAAAAAAAAGAAAAATAATAATAATAAAAAAATAAAAAATTAATTAAAATACAACAAACATATTAAAAAAAGAAATTAATTAATTAAACAAAAAAAAAAAATAATAAGAGAATAGAGAGAATTATCCAAACGAAACGAGTAATAAGCAAAAAATTAAGTTTAAATTTTTGTGTGTTAAAGCTTTTGAGGTTTGTTGTTGTTGCTTTTGTTTTGTTGTTAGCTTTGTTAACTTGAAACAGAAACAAAATAAATTCGAAAAAAAACCGAAATACATTTAGTGTTGTCATTTGTATGTACCTTGATTATTAGCTAAGAGTAAGTCGCTAGTGCTAGAGTGTTTTTCGTTCTGTTAGATATTTTTGCTAAAAAAAAAAAAAAAAAAATTAGAAAAAAAGAAACAAAAACAAAAAAGTGTTTTGTGTATACGTCTATGAAAACCTACTCTCTCACACTTTTGTATCTGAGTCCAAATTCATTAACTAAACCAATATAAAGTGCCAGTGAATAATATTTTAAAAATAAAGCATTTCGTTATTTCACTGTTTTATTATTTTCTGTGTTTTTTTTTTGTGTTTTATTTTATTTTTCGTGACAACTAATCAATAAAAGAAATTATTGTACAAAACTAAAATTATAGTTAAGAAATCAAAGAAGAAACAACACGCATACGAAAAATTGTAAAAAAGTAAAAGAAAATACAACGAAAAACCCGAAGAAAGAGAAAAAAAATAAAAATAAATTAAATTCGAAAGTTTAAAAAACAAAATATTTTGTTTAAATTTAAATTTATACAAAAACGTTTCAAAAGTGTAACGGAAATTTAAAAAAAACGAATTTAAAATTTTAACATTTATTTACACGTGGCAAAGTAACAAAAGTGTTTTATATCAAACAAAATGGTCTCAAGAAATGCCAAAAAGAAACAACAAAATGTTGGCACAACATCTTCCACATCTAACAATGCCGCCTCATCAACAACAAACGCCTCCTCCGCCACCTCCTCTAACAAGGCTGTGAAAAAGCTGGATGCTGATTTAGCACATGCCACGCAAGCGCAAGGCATAGCCAGCAGTACCTCAGGAGAATTTCATATGGCTAAGCACTATAAAGCCTCATCGTCGTCTTCAAAGTCGGCTATTAGCGAAACCAGTGTAACCGAGATACAATCGAATAACGAATCATCATTGTCATCATCATCGAAATTTAGCTCAAAATCTCAGCATCATCAAGAGATGTCGGATGAATTTTCCTCCATGGGAAAGATCATATCGTCTGTCGATTTAGTTAGTGAGTCTGCCATAAAGGAACCGGTATTTTCGGTGCCCATAGATGTGGTGGACATAACCACCAGTGGCAGTACCGGCAGCATGAAAAAAGTTTTCTCCTCCATCACCTCCTCATCGCAATCGACTTCCCAGTCCATGTCCCAAAATATGGCCTCTATATCATCCTCCTCTAAAGCCATCACCGATGGCTCAGCTGGTTATATAGTGGATGTTGAATTTAAGCCAGAAACGGTTATCATAAAAGATGAATCGATGGCTACTAAGCAAGCATTTCAAACGCTGGCTAAATCAACCAACGGTGCTACTGAAATGACATCATCGTCAACCATGTCAAGCCAGTTTATAGCTGCAGAATCAGTTAATGGCAAAACAACAAGAGCTGAGCAGCAGAGTAACACCAACACTGAAAAACAACATTATACCATACCAGCCACACAAGCAAATAATAATAAAACCATTACTAGTGGTGGTTCAGACAATAATGTTCTTTTACCTGCCGATACGTATGAGGTATTCATGCCGCCAACACCAACACCTTCTACGTCATCCATGACGTCGAATGTGCAAAACAACACAATCAACAAGTCTTCCATGCAAAACTTTGATGACTTCACTGCCATCGACAATAATACGTCACTGACCAGTATTGAGCAAAATAAAGCTTCCTCTACCAACATCAATACAAAGAACACTAGCAATACTAGCACCATCACCTCCTCTTCCTCGACAACTCAAGCATTACGTGATACCAATATTTCCAGCACTAACAGTGTAAATAAAAAATCTTTAAGCACGAAACAAATTTCCGAAAAAGAGAGCCTAACCCAAGAGCAATTATCGAAGAAGAGTTCTTCAAAGTCGAAGAAAGAGGTTTACGATGTCAAGACCAAGACCTGGAGTGAGTTTCATGAGGCCACCAACGATACTAAACAACCAACATACGAACGTTTCGTTAGCCAAGGTTCGGATGGTACTTGCAAAGTTACGTACAAAAAGAAAATCTATGATCGTCGTAACAACAAGTGGCGTATCGTTGAAGAGAAGACTGTGAATAATGCTAATGAAAAAGTATTCCCCGAAATAGTTGATGATGTCATTAATACTACGACCACTACATATACAACTAAAATCTATGATTCGAAGCTGGGACAGTGGAAAGTTGTTGATGAGAAATCGTTTGTTGATTCTAAAGCGTATGTGCCACAAGACATAGCTCGTGAGATTGAGAAAGATAATACAGATGTTGCCAACATTACAACAACAACTGAGATCACAAAGGTAAGAGAAAAAGTTTGCTAAAGAGAGAACATAAATGTAAGAGTGTATTGAAGTAAATAATTGTTATTCTCTGTCATTAGTAGAGAATCTTATTGTGAGAGAAATTTATGAGAATAGTAAAGGTATTCACTGCAGAAAGTGCAAAGCTGAGGAAGAATATCTTGCGATAGATGGATAGATAGATAGATAGATAGATAGATAGATAGATAGATAGATAGATAGATAGATAGATAGATAGATAGATAGATAGATAGATAGATAGATAGATAGATAGATAGATAGATATAGATAGATAGATAGATAGATAGATAGATAGATAGATAGATAGATAGATAGATAGATAGATAGATAAATAGATAAATAGATAAATAAATAGATAAATAGATAGATGGATAGATTGATGCCGTTATTTATACATGTTTAACTAATTCATCCTAAGCGTTAGTAGTGGTGAGAAATTTCGTATACAAATAACATAGGAAGTGTTCGGAATTCAAAGTACCTATCAGATGTTAAACTTAACAAGTACGTTAAAGTGAATACCTTTAATAATCAACAACAATAGCAAGCTAATCGCAAACATTAATTAAATTAATTTCTGCAGATCTACGATGCTAGTATTAATGACTGGCGTGTTCTAGATGAGAAAACGCGTACCGATGTCATTGAAAAGATTGTAGAGGCTCCCAAGAAAACCGTTTACATTGATGAGTATACTGAAATTGAGAAGAATTCAAAAATATTGGAAGATAATGAAAATATTGAATACAATTTAAATAAGACTTCAAAACGTAAAGATGTAACCGAAAATATTTACGATGAAATAAATGAAACACAAATAAATCGCAAGAAATTAACCGATTCACGAAAGGTAAATATTTTTTAATTAAACACACCATAGTCAAAATATCATCGCGATATTAAAAAAAAACATTCTATATTATTTAGGATGGAGTCGATAAAAGAACAACTCAAAGAACTACTCACACTGAAATGTGCATATGTGAAATTTGTACTTGCGGGTAAGTTTTCAAAAGAATATTTCATAATTTTTATAAATTTTATCACATATTTGAATTTTCAGACGCCATCATTGTACAACTAGCGATACAGTATCGAACACCTTAAAACAGGACACCCTTATAGAATCGACAGGTATTTAAAAGAAGCTTACTTACATTGATTTTTATTCTAATAATAAATTTTACTTCTCTTTTAGATATGGTTGACAATGTTGAAACAACAAGAGTACGCACAAACACGTGGTCGAAATCAGATTTCGAAGACAATGAATCTCTAACCACAACTAGAAAAACTGACAAATACATTCCCAAACCACTACCAGGTACCGAAAGACATTTAGATAGCACTAAGGAAGTAACAGAAAATGAAGAATACGAATACATTATACGAACTCAACCAGTGCGACCCCATGACAACTTGAAGCCGGAAGGTGAATTTTACAAACCCGAAAAAGAGCAGTATAGACCCTCCGAAAGACCAGCTCCCGTCAAACCAGAAGATAATTTAAGACCGGAGGGTGAGTTTTACACTCCTGATAAACCAGGTTATAGACCCTCAGAACGTCCCACACAAAAGCGTCCCGAAGATAATCTTAAACCTGAAGGAGAATTCTATACTCCAGAAAAGCCTGGCTACAGACCTGCTGACAGAACTGAAGTTATTATAAGAAAAGATAATCTTCGATCAGAAGGAGAAATGACTTTTACAGAAAAAGAAGAATACAAATATGTTCAAAGACCGCAGCCAGTTCTCAGGGGTGACAATCTCAAACCTGAGGGAGAATTTTATGCTCCGGAAAAACCTCAATATAAACCAGGCGAAAGACCCTCTCAAGTACGACCTGAGGATAATTTGAGGCCAGAAGGAGAATTTTATACCCCTGATAAACCTGGCTTTAGGCCCGCTGAAAGACCTCAACAAAAACGGCCTGAGGATAACTTAAAACCAGAGGGTGATTTCTATGCTCCAGAAAAACCTTCGTACAAACCTGGAGAAAGGCCTTCGCAAATTCGTCAGGCTGACAATTTGAAACCAGAAGGTGATTTTTATACACCAGAAAAACCTGGATTCAAACCTGCAGAAAGACCTCAACAAAAACGTCCAGAGGATAACTTGAAACCAGAAGGTGATTTTTACGCTCCAGATAAACCCTCATATAAGCCTGGTGAAAGACCAACTCAAGTTCGCCATGAAGACAACTTAAAACCAGAAGGTGATTTTTATACCCCAGAAAAGCCAGGTTTCAAGCCAGCAGAAAGACCACAACAAAAACGGCCCGAGGATAATTTAAGACCGGAGGGTGAATTTTACACACCGGAGAAACCAGGTTTCAGACCTGCTGAAAGGCCTCAACAAAAACGTCCAGAGGATAACTTGAAACCAGAAGGTGATTTTTACGCTCCAGATAAACCCTCATATAAGCCTGGTGAAAGACCTAGTCAAGTTCGCCATGAAGATAACTTGAGACCAGAAGGTGATTTTTATACTCCAGAAAAGCCAGGTTTTAAGCCAGCAGAAAGACCGCAACAAAAACGACCGGAGGATAATTTAAAACCAGAGGGTGACTTTTATGCGCCCGAAAAGCCTTCTTATAAACCAGGTGAAAGGCCCACACAAGTTCGCCCAGAAGACAATTTTAGACCAGAAGGTGAATTTTATACTACAGAAAAACCAGGTTTTAAGCCAGCCGAAAGACCACAACAAAAACGTCCAGAAGATAACTTGAAACCAGAGGGAGATTTTTACACACCGGACAAACCTGCATACAAACCTGGTGAAAGACCAACCCAAGTTCGCCATGAGGATAATTTAAGACCTGAGGGTGAGTTTTATACTCCTGAAAAACCTGGCTTCCGGCCAGCAGAAAGACCTCAGCAAAAACGTCCTGAGGACAATCTTAAACCAGAAGGTGATTTTTACGCTCCTGATAAACCCTCGTACAAACCAGGTGAAAGACCTACTCAAGTTCGACCAGAAGACAATTTAAGACCAGAAGGTGAATTTTACACTCCAGAAAAACCCGGCTTCCGACCAGCAGAAAGACCTCAGCAAAAGCGGCCTGAGGATAATCTAAAACCAGAAGGTGATTTTTACACTCCGGATAAACCTTTGTACAAACCAGGCGAAAGACCCACACAAGTTCGTCCAGAAGACAATTTAAGACCAGAGGGTGAATTCTACGCTCCTGAAAAGCCTGGATTCAAACCAGCGGAAAGACCACAACAAAAACGACCTGAAGATAATCTAAAACCTGAAGGTGAGTTTTATGCCCCAGATAAACCAAAATATAAACCTGGTGAAAGACCAACTCAAGTTCGTCCCGAAGACAATCTTCGACCAGAAGGTGAATTCTATACCCCAGAAAAGCTAGGATTCAGACCAGCAGAAAAAACTGAGAGGATTATTAGAAAGGACAATCTTCGCACAGAAGGAGAAATGTTTTTCACAGAAAAAGAAGAATATCATTATGTTAGCAGACCCGAACCAGTCAAAAGATTAGACAACTTAAAACCAGAAGGTGAATTCTATACTCCTGAAAAGCCTAAATTTGTTCCAGGTGAAAGACCCACTCAGGTACGTCACGATGATAACTTAAAACCGGAAGGAGAGTTCTATACGCCAGAAAAACCTGGATACAGACCAGCAGAACGTCCCACACAAAAGAAACCAGAGGATAATCTGAAACCCGAAGGTGAATTCTATACTCCAGATAAACCTGGATATAGACCAGCGGAGCGACCTATTCAGAAAAAACCGCAAGATAATTTGAAGCCAGAAGGCGAATTTACTGTACCAGATAAACCTACCTTCACCCCTGCTGAAAAAACCGAGCGTATTATTAGAAAGGATAATTTACGTACTGAGGGTGAAATGACATTTACCGAGAAAGAAGAATACCAATACGTAATTCGTCAAGAACCAGTAAAACGATTGGATAATTTGAAACCAGAAGGAGATTTTTATACACCAGAAAAGCCCAAATATATCGCTGGTGAACGTCCCCACCAAATTCGACCCGAAGATAATTTAAAGCCTGAAGGAGAATTCTACACTCCAGAAAAGACCGGCTATAGACCAGCAGAACGACCAGTTCAAAAGAAACCGGAAGACAATCTAAGACCAGAAGGCGAATTTACGGTTCCTGATAAGCATGTTTTTAAACCTGCTGAGCGAACTGAAAGAATAATAAGAACAGACAATCTGCGCACGGAAGGTGAAATGACATTTGTTGAGAAGGAAGAATATCAGTATGTTAAGCGACCAGAACCTGTAAGGAGATTAGACAATCTTAAGCCTGAAGGAGAATTTTATGCCCCAGAAAAACTGAAATACATGCCAGGCGAAAGACCAACACAAGTACGACCAGAAGATAATCTAAAACCAGAAGGAGATTTCTACACCCCAGAAAAGCCAGGTTTCCGTCCAGCTGAAAGACCAGTTCAAAAGAAACCAGAGGACAATCTTAAGCCTGAAGGAGATTTCTACACCCCAGAAAAGCCAGGTTTCCGTCCGGCTGAACGTCCAGTTCAAAAGAAACCAGAAGATAATCTAAAACCAGAAGGAGATTTCTACACTCCAGAAAAACCAGGTTTCCGTCCAGCTGAAAGACCAGTTCAAAAGAAACCAGAGGACAATCTTAAGCCTGAAGGCGATTTCTACACCCCTGAAAAACCTGGTTTCCGCCCAGCTGAAAGACCAGTGCAAAAGAAACCAGAAGATAATCTCAAACCCGAAGGAGATTTCTACACACCTGAAAAGCCTGGTTTCCGTCCAGCTGAAAGACCAGTTCAAAAGAAACCCGAGGACAATCTTAAGCCTGAAGGCGATTTCTACACCCCAGAAAAGCCTGGTTTCCGTCCAGCTGAAAGACCAGTTCAAAAGAAACCAGAAGATAATCTTAAGCCTGAAGGAGACTTTTACACTCCAGAAAAGCCTGGTTTCCGACCAGCTGAAAGACCAATTCAGAAGAAACCAGAAGACAATCTAAGACCAGAAGGTGAATTTACCGTTCCAGATAAGCCTGTTTTTAAACCTGCTGAGCGAACTGAAAGAATAATAAGAACAGATAACCTACGCACGGAAGGTGAAATGACATTTGTTGAGAAGGAAGAATATCAATATGTTAAGCGACCAGAACCTGTAAGGAGATTAGATAATCTTAAGCCTGAAGGAGAATTTTATGCTCCAGAAAAACTGAAATACGTACCAGGCGAAAGACCAACACAAGTACGACCAGAAGATAATCTAAAACCAGAAGGAGATTTCTACACCCCAGAAAAACAAGGTTTTCGTCCAGCTGAAAGACCAGTTCAAAAGAAACCTGAAGACAATCTTAAGCCTGAAGGAGATTTCTACACCCCAGAAAAACCAGGTTTCCGTCCGGCTGAACGTCCAGTTCAAAAGAAACCAGAAGATAATCTAAAACCAGAAGGAGATTTCTACACCCCAGAAAAACCAGGTTTCCGTCCAGCTGAAAGACCAGTTCAAAAGAAACCAGAAGATAATCTCAAACCTGAAGGGGACTTCTACACTCCAGAAAAGCCTGGTTTCCGTCCAGCTGAAAGACCAGTGCAAAAGAAACCAGAGGACAATCTGAAACCAGAGGGTGACTTTTATGCACCAGAGAAACCTAAGTACGTTTCCGGTGAAAGACCTTCACAGGTTCGTCCAGAAGATAATCTAAGACCTGAAGGAGATTTCTACACGCCTGACAAGCCAGATTTCCGTCCAGCTGAAAGACCAGTTCAAAAGAAGCCTGAAGATAATCTTAAACCTGAAGGAGATTTCTACACTCCAGAAAAGCCTGGTTTCCGACCAGCTGAAAGACCAGTGCAAAAGAAACCAGAAGACAATCTCAAGCCTGAAGGAGAGTTCTATACTCCAGAAAAACCTGGTTTCCGTCCAGCTGAAAGACCAGTACAAAAGAAACCAGAAGACAATCTCAAGCCTGAGGGAGATTTCTATACTCCAGAAAAACCTGGTTTCCGTCCAGCTGAAAGACCCGTGCAGAAAAAACCGGAGGACAATCTTAAACCAGAGGGCGATTTTTATGCACCAGAAAAACCTAAATACGTTTCCGGCGAAAGGCCTTCACAAGTTCGTCCAGAAGATAACTTAAGACCAGAAGGAGACTTCTATACACCTGATAAGACAGACTTCCGTCCAGCTGAAAGACCTGTGCAAAAGAAACCAGAAGATAATCTTAAGCCTGAAGGAGAGTTCTACACTCCAGAAAAGCCTGGTTTCCGTCCAGCTGAAAGACCCGTGCAGAAGAAACCAGAAGATAATCTCAAACCAGAAGGAGATTTCTATACACCTGAGAAACCTGGTTTCCGACCTGCTGAAAGACCAGTGCAAAAGAAACCAGAGGACAATCTCAAACCAGAAGGTGACTTCTATACGCCAGAGAAACCTAAATACGTTTCCGGTGAAAGACCTTCACAGGTTCGTCCAGAAGATAATCTGAGACCAGAGGGAGATTTCTACACTCCAGAAAAGCCTGGTTTCCGCCCAGCTGAAAGACCAGTGCAGAAGAAACCAGAAGATAATCTTAAACCAGAAGGAGATTTCTATACACCTGAAAAACCTGGTTTCCGACCTGCTGAAAGACCAGTTCAAAAGAAACCCGAGGACAATCTCAAACCAGAAGGTGACTTCTATACGCCAGAGAAACCTAAATACGTTTCCGGAGAAAGGCCTTCACAGGTTCGTCCAGAAGATAATCTGAGACCAGAGGGAGATTTCTATACTCCGGAAAAGCCTGGTTTCCATCCAGCTGAAAGACCAGTGCAAAAGAAACCAGAGGACAATCTCAAACCTGAGGGAGATTTCTATACTCCAGAAAAACCTGGTTTCCGTCCAGCTGAAAGACCAGTGCAAAAGAAACCAGAAGATAATCTAAAGCCTGAAGGAGATTTCTACACTCCAGAAAAGCCTGGTTTCCGCCCAGCTGAAAGACCAGTGCAAAAGAAACCAGAGGACAATCTCAAACCAGAAGGTGATTTTTATGCACCAGAGAAACCTAAATATGTTTCTGGTGAACGGCCTTCACAGGTTCGTCCAGAAGACAATCTAAGACCAGAAGGAGATTTTTACACTCCAGAAAAGCCTGGTTTCCGTCCAGCTGAAAGACCTGTGCAAAAGAAACCAGAGGATAATCTCAAACCAGAAGGAGATTTCTATACACCTGAGAAACCTGGTTTCCGACCTGCAGAGAGACCTCTTCAAAAGAAACCTGAAGATAACTTGAAGCCAGAGGGCGATTTCTATACACCAGAGAAGCCCGCCTATATTCCGGGCGAAAGACCTTCTCAAGTGCGCCCAGAGGATAACTTAAGGCCAGAAGGAGATTTTTCAGTACCCGATAAACCAAGTTATAGGCCAGCAGAAAAAACTGAACGCATTGTAAGGAAAGACAACTTGCGAACAGAAGGTGAAATGACATTTGTTGAAAAAGAAGAATATCAGTATGTTAAAAGGCCGGAGCCCGTTAAACGTTTGGATAATTTGAAACCAGAAGGAGAATTCTATGCCCCTGAAAAGCCGAAGTTTGTTGCTGGAGAAAGACCTACCCAAGTGCGTCCTGAAGATAATCTGAAACCAGAAGGTGATTTTACAATTCCGGAAAAGCCTACTTACAAACCTGCTGAAAGAGTTGAGCGTATTGTAAGAAAAGATAATCTTCGTACTGAAGGAGAAATGACATTTGTAGAGAAGGAAGATTATCAATTCGTCGTCAGGCCTGCCCAAGTACGTCCTGAAGATAACTTGAGACCTGAAGGTGATTTCTACACTCCCGAAAAGCCTGGTTTCCGTCCAGCCGAAAGACCAGTTCAAAAGAAACCAGAAGATAATCTGAAGCCCGAAGGAGATTTCTACACTCCTGAAAAACCTGGCTTCCGTCCTGCTGAAAGACCTGTACAAAAGAAACCGGAAGATAATCTTAAGCCTGAAGGAGATTTCTACACTCCCGAAAAGCCTGGTTTCCGTCCTGCTGAAAGACCAGTTCAAAAGAAACCAGAAGATAATCTGAAACCAGAAGGAGATTTCTACACGCCTGAAAAGCCTGGCTTCCGTCCGGCTGAAAGACCGGTACAAAAGAAACCTGAAGATAATCTTAAGCCTGAAGGAGATTTCTACACGCCTGAAAAGCCTGGTTTCCGTCCGGCTGAAAGACCCGTGCAAAAGAAACCTGAAGATAATCTTAAGCCTGAAGGAGATTTCTACACTCCAGAAAAACCTGGTTTCCGTCCTGCTGAAAGACCTGTGCAAAAGAAACCAGAAGATAATCTCAAACCAGAGGGTGATTTCTATACACCCGATAAGCCTAAATTCGTTTCGGGTGAAAGACCTTCCCAAATTCGTCCTGAAGATAATCTTAGACCCGAAGGAGACTTCTATACACCTGATAAGCCAGGTTTCCGTCCGGCCGAAAGACCTGTTCAAAAGAAACCAGAAGATAATCTAAAACCTGAAGGAGATTTCTATACTCCAGAAAAAACAGGTTTCCGTCCAGCTGAAAGACCCGTGCAAAAGAAACCTGAAGATAATCTTAAGCCTGAAGGAGATTTCTACACGCCAGAAAAGCCCGGTTACCGCCCGGCTGAAAGACCCGTTCAAAAGAAACCAGAAGATAATCTCAAACCAGAGGGTGATTTTTACACACCCGAAAAGCCTAAATTCGTTTCGGGTGAAAGACCTTCCCAAGTTCGTCCTGAGGATAATCTAAGACCAGAAGGAGACTTCTATACACCTGAGAAGCCTGGTTTCCGACCTGCCGAAAGACCCGTTCAAAAGAAACCAGAAGATAATCTTAAACCTGAAGGAGATTTCTACACTCCCGAAAAACCTGGTTTCCGTCCTGCTGAAAGACCTGTTCAAAAGAAACCAGAAGATAATCTTAAACCTGAAGGAGATTTCTATACTCCCGAAAAGACTGGTTACCGTCCTGCTGAAAGACCTATTCAAAAGAAGCCAGAGGATAATCTGAAGCCTGAAGGAGATTTCTACACTCCAGAAAAGCCTGGTTTCCGCCCTGCAGAAAGACCAGTACAAAAGAAACCAGAAGATAATCTTAAGCCTGAGGGTGAATTTACTGTTCCAGAAAAGACCGTTTTTAAACCCGCCGAAAAAACGCAAAGAATAATTCGTAAGGACAATCTTCGTACCGAGGGAGAAATGACCTTTGTTGAAAAAGAAGAATATAAATATGTTAGAAGACCTGAACCTGTTAAGAAAAGAGACAATCTTAAACCCGAAGGTGAATTCTATGCTCCTGAAAAACCGAAATTCATTCCTGGCGAACGACCAACCCAAGTTCGACATGAAGATAATCTTAAGCCTGAAGGCGACTTTTATTCTCCCGAAAAGACAGGTTACAAGCCTGCGGAAAAGGTGGTGCAGAAGAAACCCAAGGATAACCTTAAGCCTGAAGGTGAATTTACAGTTCCTGATAAGCCAACATTCAAACCAGCTGAAAAAACTGAACGGATCATAAGAAAAGATAATTTACGTACTGAAGGCGAAATGACATTTATTGAAAAAGAAGAGTATCAATATGTAAAGAGGCCTGAGCCCGTAAAAATGAAGGATAACCTGAAACCGGAGGGTGACTTCTATACCCCTGAGAAAGAAGGTTTTAAACCAGCAGAAAGACCTGTTCAAAAGAAACCACAAGATAACCTTAAACCAGAGGGTGATTTCTATACCCCAGAGAAGCAAGGCTTTAAACCGGCAGAGAGACCAGTTCAAAAGAAACCACAGGATAACTTGAAACCAGAAGGTGACTTTACCGTTCCGGATAAACCTACCTACAAGCCAGGAGAAAAGACAACACGTATTATTAGAAAAGATAATTTGCGTACAGAAGGTGAAATGACATTTGTTGAAAAAGATGAATACAAATATGTTAAGAGGCCAGAGCCAATCAAACAATCCGATAATCTTAAGCCGGAAGGCGAATTTTACACACCAGAGAAAAGTGGGTTTAAACCTGCTGAACGACCATCACAAAAGAAGCCTGTTGATAATCTTAAACCAGAAGGTGATTTTTATGCTCCAAGTAAACCTGGTTTTAAACCTGCCGAACGTCCAGTTGCAAAGAAACCGGTTGATAATTTGAAACCTGAGGGAGATTTTACAACTCCTGAAAAACCTTCTTATAAGCCAGCAGACAAAGTGCAGCGAGTCATTCACAAAGACAATTTGCGTACGGAAGGTGAAATGACATTTGAGCAAAAAGAAATATATCAACATGTGAAAAGGCCAACTCCAATTAAACCCACTGACAATTTGAAGCCAGAGGGCGAGTTTGTTACACCAGAAAAGCCTTTATATAAACCGGGTGAAAGAGTAGAGCGCGTTATACATAAGGATAACCTGCGTACAGAGGGTGAAATGACATTCGATAGAAAGACTACTTACCAACATGTAAAGAGACCAACACCAATCAAACCTAACGATAATTTGAAACCCGAAGGCGAATTCGTTACACCAGAAAAATCTCCTTATAAACCGGGAGAAAGAGTAGAGCGTGTGGTGCGCAAAGACAATCTTCGAACTGAAGGTGAAATGACATTCGAACAAAAAGATACTTATCAGTACGTTAAGAAACCAACACCAATCAAACCCACTGATAATCTAAAACCAGAGGGAGATTTCTACAAAAAAGAAAAACCCACGGGTCCTAAAGATGTTGTCGATAGAGCTACTCCTAAACGTCCAGTTGACAATTTGAAACTCGAAGGTAAAATGGATATTGTTAAAAAGAATGAAACTAAAACTACTCAACAAACCACTGTGCGTCAAACTAAGAGCAAATACGCACATAATAGTTCTTCCATTAGTTTGGGAACAGACAGTTCCATTCTTAAGACAACAAGTCAGATGAGTTTTGCATCTGGTAAGACAGCTGTTCCTGTTACTGATTTAACAACTGAAAAACCAGCTGATGGCATGGTCATTGTCTCTACTAAAAAGGTCATCACTGTCGTTGGGGGTAAATCCAAAAAGGAACCTGAAACACAATATATCAGGAGACAGGGCAAGGTTAATGTCATTGAAAATGTGGAAAAATCATCAACTACGAAGAATATAAAGAATGTGGAAAACATCCACCACGAAGACGTTTCTCTCACCCAAAACCGTGTAACGGCAAGAAACAAAACTATAGTGGATTCTACACAACATGATAGCAAGCATATAACAAATGGCAGCACTTCTGTGACTAACAGTATTCAAAATAACTCAACAGTACATGGTACACATAGAATAACGTCCGACAATCAACACCAGCACACATGCTTGGCTGACAAACTCACGTCTTCGAACCAACACATACATACCGATGGCACAACTATAATCAGAAGAGCTACCTGTGTTAATCAAAGACATGGAACTTCTTCTGATATGAAGAGCTTAATTAGTGGTGGAGGAAGCAGTGGTCATGTTTCGCACACCCACGATACTGCATCAAAGGTTGCAAAAACCATGAATGGAAATACCAGCAACATAGCCCGCACCAGCTCAACAAACATTAGCTCAAATAGTTTAGAAAGCTCTAGTGCCACCTCAACTTCGACAATGTCGACCAGCAAGCAGTTCCATCATCGTAAAACAGAATTTTCATCTGAGTCCAATGTGGCCAATACAATATTGCAACGTAAAAACGCACCAGCCGAAACCAATCAGTTTGGTAGTCTTACATCAAATGCCAAGATACAACGCAAGAGTATAATGAATCTTAACGAACAACCCTCGAGCAATTGGTTCCCCAGCGAAAGACAAAGTTACACCACTATCCATCGCCAGAAAGAAGCAGAGTCTTCAGCCGCAAACAATCTAAGTGAACGACGCAGCATAACAACAAAACACCGTGAAATGAAAGATCAACAGACCAACAACCGGGGATCAACAGCCCACCATACTATGTCTGTACATACATCCGCTCTCGATTTCCCTTCTTACAGCCGGGCGAGCTCAGAACGTGTTGTTACACGTCAACGTGCCAATCAATCATCGATTTCTTTCGGAAATGAAACTTCCTCTTCGTCAAGCCTTTATAAAATGGAATACAAAACGCTTCCGGTCACAACATGTGCTGTGCATAAAGTAAAACAAGGTGCATTCCAACACACTAGGGATACTCATGATCATAAATTTTTCAAAAGCAACTAATTAAGCAATTTGTAATATCTGATTTTTTTTTTGTAAACATGCAGAATTAATTGTTAATGCATATTATTAATATTCCCCCTATTTTCTTATTATTTTTTTGTTAACACATTAGTTACTAACATTTACACATATAATACGTAATAATATTTTTTTATACATATCACAATAAACAATACAATTGTCATTTATTATTAATAAAAAGTCTCGAAATTTAAAAAAAATAAAATTAAAACAATTGTGTTTTGAAATTGTTTGAAAACTTTAAGTTAACACCTTAAGGTATGCTTTAATTTATAAGAAAATGTTGAATATTCGGAGAGAAATTGTATGGAAGTTGTTTTTAATATATTTTAAGGGATAGGTGTTATTGGTATTTGTGTGATCAATGTCACACAGTGGGACGGAATCTTATAAAATTTGATATGGGCGTATTCAACTAAGTTTTAAACGCGTGCCATTATTTTGTTTCCCATCCGTGTGTTTGTAAGTAAGTACAAGAACAATATTTATCATATGAAGCTGTATGTTGTTGTTTTGTTTTTCTTTTTGTTAAAGCACGCACAAGAATTCACGTTTTTGATAAAAGTTTTCAAAGGTTGTCTCGGTTTTTTGCTCATATATCCGTAATTTCTCACGAAGGTGAAGGGTATAAAAATCCACTTTTCTTACAACAAAAACAAAATTATGTTTAAACCTTTTGTATATTAGTATATTTCTTTTCATTTTTAATCATTTCTTTTTTTGTTAAAAATTAGCAATAAATAATCGTTTAGAAGTGTTACTAACTATGAAATAAATTATTTATTTTTTATTAAATATTTGTTTTTAAAAATTTCAAATTAAATTTATACGCTTTTTTGTAATATTTATATGTATATATGAATATAGATTTAATAATAGTTGCTGTATAAATATAAATTAAATACAATTACAATGTTTGTTTGGAAGACTTTGTTATTTTTTATATATATTAATTATTATATTTATGTTTATGTTAATTATTTTGATTATTTTTAATTTAACAATTAGATATTCAACTATATATAGAATATTTATAGAGTTAAATGGAAGACAATTTTCAAATTTGTTTGTTACTTTGTTGGAAGACATTTTTCACTTATAAACTAAATTTGTTTGTATGTTTGTTTATATATGTATGTATGTTTGTTTGTATGAATATTACTAGATGATTATTTATAACTAAAGTTTGGTTACTAATTGATTTTTACTTATATTTATATATATAATTATTAAAAAAAAGTTTACACTTTTTCCTTTCGTTCGTTTAAAATGGAAGACCAATTTCGAAGGCATTTATTAAAGCATTGCCCGAATCGTAAATACCTATAACGCCGAAAAGCACACCCAATCCAATAATGATGTAGTCTTTAGCTATTTCCTTTTGATCCAATAAATGACCTTTAATCTTTAAATGGAAATAACAAGGCCAAATGAAACTTAACATAGTGCCCGTAAAACTGCCAATGAAACCCATAAGTATTGAGAAATGTGGTATGAAAATGGCCATCATAATAGTAGAGACAATAACGCCCACACGAAAACCTAAACCCCAAACCTTAAGCTCACCATCCAAGTGCCAGATGGTGGGAAATTTTGTCTTAGGAGGACCGCGAAAGAAGTTGCGTTCCAATAACTCACAGGCAGCATAGTACGGCAAGGGATAACTGAGTATAGCTTTAATAACTAAAAACACATTGACCAAACCCTTAAAGCCCTGAGAATGTAAATTATTCGTTATAACCTGTTGGGTATCGTTCTGAAAGGTCAGAAAGCATATATAACCAAAACCAGCCTTAAAAGCAGCTGCTGCTATATGCGACCAATCCAACATCCAATTAAACTTGGAACGATCTATCATATTGCCCTCTAAAGTGGGTAAAAATATCTGTGAAGTATAAGAGAACACTATCACACCCAAAGAAATGGGAAAGTTTTCAAAATCAATACTCCAACGCACTTTCGACCAGCCCCAATCGCCAATTTGTAGAATGCAATAACCCAAAATCACCACATTAATAACAATATGCGACATGGTACACCAGAAGGAGAGAGTCGAAACCATTTTAAGTGATTTTAAAAAGCCCATTGGCAGTAGAAATATGCCTATCAACATCATCCAGGAACGTGAATCGAATGCTCCTTGTGGATAGGTGCCGGCCATTAAATCTCCACAAACGACCACATATAATATGCAAGTCATTAGTAACTCGATTAACTGGGCAATACTTACAGCTCGTGCTCCCAGTTTGGGACCGAAACATACTTTTGCTATCGATACATAACTGTCGCGTACACGTACCAATTGTCCCGTAGCTGGATCTGGCTCATAGAGGCACTGCACCAACACTTTTCCTGTATAACAGCAAATGTAGGCAATACCCACCATAGCTATGATGGCCCAATAACCTCCATGAAGTACCGCAAATGGCAGGGATACGATGAACATACCTTGTATGGCGTTAGTTACGTTCCAGGCAGCTTGCATTTCATCGATTTTATGTCCACCACCACCTTCACCTTCGCACACAAATGAACTGCCCTCCGATGCAATGCTGCCTTGTCTGGAAAATTAAGAAAATAATTTTTGGGGTGAGTAAAATTTTCATTAGTAATACAGACCATTAAAAGCCAAAACCCAGACACTGTAGACTTTTAATCGATAGCCTAGACTAGACTATAGACTAGACTATAGACTAGACTATAGACTAGACTATAGACTAGACTATAGACTAGACTATAGACTAGACTATAGACTAGACTATAGACTAGACTATAGACCAGACTATAGACTAGACTATAGGCTAGACTATAGACTAGACTATAGGCTAGACTATAGACTAGACTAGACTATAGACTAGACTATAGACTAGACTATAGACTAGACTAGACTAGACTATAGACTAGACTATAGACTAGACTATAGACTAGACTATAGACTAGACTATAGACTAGACTATAGACTAGACTATAGACTAGACTAGACTATAGACTAGACTATAGACTAGACTATAGACTAGACTATAGACTAGAGTATAGACTAGAGTATAGACTAGACTATAGACTAGACTATAGACTAGACTATAGACTAGACTATAGACTAGACTATAGACTAGACTATAGACTAGACTATAGACTAGACTATAGACTAGACTATAGACTAGACTATAGACTAGACTATAGACTAGACTATAGACTAGACTAGACTATAGACTATAGACTACACTATAGACTAGACTAAACTATAGACTAGACTATAGACTAGACTATAGACTAGACTAGACTAGACTAGACTATAGACTAGACTATAGACTAGACTATAGACTAGACTAGACTATAGACTAGACTATAGACTAGACTATAGACTAGACTATAGACTAGACTATAGACTAGACTATAGACTAGACTAGACTATAGACTAGACTATAGACTAGACTATAGACTAGACTATAGACTAGACTATAGACTAGACTATAGACTAGACTAGACTATAGACTAGACTATAGACTAGACTAGACTATAGACTAGACTATAGACTAGACTATAGACTAGACTATAGACTAGACTATAGACTAGACTATAGACTAGACTATAGACTAGACTATAGACTAGACTATAGACTAGACTATAGACTAGACTATAGACTAGACTATAGACTAGACTATAGACTAGACTATAGACTAGACTATAGACTAGACTATAGACTAGACTATAGACTAGACTATAGACTAGACTATAGACTAGACTATAGACTAGACTATAGACTAGACTATAGACTAGACTATAGACTAGACTATAGACTAGACTATAGACTAGACTATAGACTAGACTATAGACTAGACTATAGACTAGACTATAGACTAGACTATAGACTAGACTATAGACTAGACTATAGACTAGACTATAGACTAGACTATAGACTAGACTATAGACTAGACTATAGACTAGACTATAGACTAGACTATAGACTAGACTATAGACTAGACTATAGACTAGACTATAGACTAGACTATAGACTAAACTATAGAGACTATAGACTAGACTATAGACTAGACTATAGACTAGACTATAGACTAGACTATAGACTAGACTATAGACTAAACTATAGACTAGACTATAGACTAGACTATAGACTAGACTATAGACTAGACTATAGACTAGACTATAGACTAAACTATAGACTAGACTATAGACTAGACTATAGACTAAACTATAGACTAGACTATAGACTAGACTATAGACTAGACTATAGACTAGACTATAGACTAGACTATAGACTAGACTATAGACTAAACTATAGACTAGACTATAGACTAGACTATAGACTAGACTATAGACTAGACTATAGACTAGACTATAGACTAGACTATAGACTAGACTATAGACTAGACTATAGACTAGACTATAGACTAGACTATAGACTAGACTATAGACTAGACTATAGACGTTTTGCCTTTCATTTCGAACAAGATTTTTTAAATTAAAAATTTTTAAAAATGTAACTTACCGAAAACCGTCATATTCATTGGCCACAAAAGACGTTGTCTGATAGCCTTCACCCTTATATTCACTGGCCTCACCATCATCAGCCCAACCATTTGGATTTCTAAAGGGATTCAATTCCGTAGGTCTGTCAACTAAAGATTAAAAAAAATCAAGGATAACTCTTAACTAAATATCCCAGAAGATAGGAACTTACCACTGCCATAGTTAGTTTCATCGCCCTGATACATGGCCTGTGTATTATTTGGTTGATTTTCATTATGTGGTTGTGCCATGCTACTGCTAACTCCTCCTGGCTGTTCATAGTCCTTCTTATCGGGCATATGTTGACGGGCCGTTTGCACAGCTACATTAAGAATATTTTTAATTGGTGGCAACTGTGAGGTTTTGATTTTATTTAAAAATGACATGATGGCTTTCAAATCTTATCCAATACGTGAGGTGTTACTACTACAAATCTATATTTATTTTCAAAGCGATGAAGGTGGCGATGGTGGTTTAAATTTCTTTATAATACAACAGCTTTAACTTTAAGTTGTTTCTTTTATAATTTTCAATCTTTTTTTTTTTAGGTTAGGCAAGCGAAAAGGGGATGATGATTTATTTTTCTTAACGAAAATTTCTCTTTAAAGAAATGTGTGCTTCTTATCGATTTTCTAATGCAATAGGATAATTTTGCTGATGTCGTCAATTCAATTGAAATTAAAATTTTATCCGGAATAGTATTTTAACTTGATTTCCCGCACCAATTTAGAATTTTTACCATGTTATACATTTTTTCTTACATTGGCCCATTAAATACTTTTTCGTTTAGCAAAAAAAAGTGATGAACAGAAATCGATACATACTATAATACAATTTTCTATATGAACACTAAAACTGAAATGGAAATGTGAAATTATTAGTTTAATAAATGAAACAAAAACAACTTTTTTAAACTATAAAACTAATAACGAATTGTTTAGAAAACAAATTGAAAAATAACTATAATTAGGTTTATTTAAAAATTACTTTTTTATGTAACGTTATAACAAGTAACTAACGCCAAAAAATTTTAGTGTAAAATGTGGATTTCTTGAGGTTTTTTTCTTCCTTTACATGTTAATTCTAACGCATGCTCTGTAATGTCCTTGATTGTTAAAGGATTTAAGGGTTGAACGAAACAATATCAAATCATTCACAATAGAATGTTTACAATAAGAAAGTGAATATTAAGTTTTTCTTTAATTATAAACATTTTGAATTTTTCTGAAAAGTGGACTTAATTTCCAATACTTACTTACTTATTCCAGACCACTTTTATCATTCATAGATATATAAGAAGTCTTTTCAGGTGTAAATTTAAGGAGGAAATATTTAAGTCTGTTGTCTACTATATAGACTAATCTATTGTTTAGACTATTGTCTAGAGACTAGTCTATTGTTTAGTCCATAGACTAGTCTATTGTCTAGTATATATAGTCTATTGTCTAGTCTATAGACTAATCAATTGTCTACTCTATAGACTAGTCTATTGTCTAGTCTATAGACTAATCAATTGTCTAGTCTATATACTAGTCAAATATTTAGTCTATTAACTAGTTAGTTAACTAGTCTGTTGTCTAGTCAATAGCCTAGTATGTTGTCTAGTCTATAGACTAGTCTATTGTCTAGTCTATAGACTAGTCTATTGTCTAGTCTATAGACTAGTCTCTTGTCTAGTCAATAGACTAGTCTAATGTCTAGTCTATAGACTAGTCTCTTGTCTAGTCAATAGACTAGTCTAATGTCTAGTCTATAGACTAGTCTAATGTCTAGTATGTTGACTAGTCTATAGACTAGTCTGTTGTCTGGTCTATAGACTAGACGACAGACTAGTCTACACAACTGACTAGTCTATAGACCTGACAAAAGACTAGTCTATAGACTAGTCAACAGACTTGTCTAGACTAGTATATAGACTAGTCTATTGTCTAGTCTATATACTAGTCTATTGTCTAGTCTATAGACTAGTCTATTGTCAAGTCTATATACTCGTCTATTGTCAAGTCTATATACTAGTCTATTGTCTATTGACTAGTATATTGTCTAGTCTATAGACTAGTCTGTTGTCTAGTCTATAGACTAGTCTATTGTCTATTGACTAGTATATTGTCTAGTCTATATACTAGTCTATTGTCTAGTCTATAGACTAGTCTATTGTCAAGTCTATATACTCGTCTATTGTCAAGTCTATATACTAGTCTATTGTCTATTGACTAGTATATTGTCTAGTCTATTGTCTAGTCTATAGACTAGTCTGTTGTCTAGTCTATAGACTAGTCTATTGTCTATTGACTAGTATATTGTCTAGTCTATAGACTAGTCTATTGTCTATTGACTAGTATATTGTCTAGTCTATAGACTAGACTATTGTCTAGTCTATAGACTAGTCTATTGTCTAGTCTATCGACTAGTCTATTGTCTAGTCTATCGACTAGTCTATTGTCTAGTCTATTGTCTAGTCTATTGTCTAGTCTATTGTCTAGTCTATTGTATTGTCTAGTCTATTGTCTAGTCTATTGTCTAGTCTATAGACTAGTCTATTGTCTAGTCTATAGACTAGTCTATTCTATTGACTAGTCTATAGACTAGTCTATTGTCTAGTCTACAGACTAGTCTATTGTCTAGTCTATAGACTAGTCTATTATCTAGTCTATAGACTAGTCTGTTGTCTAGTCTATAAACTAGTCTGTTGTCTAGTCTATAGACTAGTCTGTTGTCTAGTCTATAGACTAGTCTGTTGTCTAGTCTATAGACTAGTCAATTGTCAATAGTCTATAGACTAGTCTAGTCTATAGACTAGTCAATTGTCTAGTCTATAGACTAGTCTGTTGTCTGGTCTATAGACTAGTCTTTTGTCTAGTCTTTTGCTCAGTCTATTGTCTAGTCTTTAGACTAGTCTATTATCTAGTTTATGACTTGTCTATTCTATATACTAGTCTATTGTCTTGTCTATAGACTTATTAATCTGATCACTTCTTCAAAGACTCTAAAATATAATTCCAAACTAGAAAAACCGGTAAGGGCCCAAGATTTTTTGAAATATTAAATAATAACTTACCTTTTTATGGAATTATGTTAATCTTGCTTAATATTTCCTTGATTAGCTGTAATAAAAAAAAAAATCAACTGCGTGGGAGTTAACGGATCTGCGATTAACAAATTGTATCCAAGTTTTCACCTCAATCGAAATACACTTTGAACTAATATATAGTTTTTATTAAAACTTTAGTCTTGCCATTTTCTCAATCACAAATGCGTTAAAGCCGCGGCCATTTTGAATTAGTTTTTAATACAGCTTAAACACATTTTTTATTCAACTAAAATTATTTAGATTTTAGCTCTTTTTTTAATGAGAATTTTTGCATGTTTAACTATATACTACATTTGTATTTACATAATTATTAAGATTTATAAAAGGAAATTACATATTTCTTTAATGAAAAAGTAGCAACGAACAAATTCATATATGAATTATCAGCTATACAAATATCGAACGATACACAAACTTAATTACTGTAACAAGTTTTTCTTACACCCGCCAAAATGTTGCTTATTTCATCATCACGTCGAGGATCGAGTAATATCTCTCCTACACCCAAAACTCCCGAGGAATTTGGTATACTACCAAATATCTGTGGATGGTGGCTGTGATGATGGTGGGGATGTGAATGAGCTGGATAGGGTGATGACTGAGCTAAAGAGGCGGTCAAAGGCGTGGCTGAGGCCTGTGTCATGAGACTCATTTGGGAGGCTGAATTGCCACCTTCATTTAGATGAGACATTTGTGTGGCAATCTGAGGACTATAATGGTTGTAATGAAGATAACTTTGATTTTGAGCCACTTGACCATAGACTCCGGCCGGTAGAGATGATTGCTGTAAAGGTAGAGTGAGTTGCAATGGAAATGACTGGCTGGCCAGGGAATAGGGTAGCTGACTATAGTAACTGCCTCCAGCTGAAGAAGTTGACACTACCATGGGATTGAATGCATCATAGCCATCGTAATTGTGATTGGAATCAGGATATTTATTTTGCTTGGCATTCTTTAAAGCGTCTTCTTCATTGTTCATGCCACTAGAGTTATTTTCACTAGACATAGCAGCGTAATCACTGTCAGCGAATGGTGAAGTATGCGCTGCGGCTGTGGTAGTATAACGTAGGTAATCCTCATATGCCGCATTCGAATTATAGGCATTAGGTGTTACTAGATAATCTCCCGCACAAGAGCCTTGAGACATGCGTGCATTTTCCAAGGAGAAATTCAAATCACTATGGTGATGTGATGTCGTTTGATGCGTTGAGTAAGGGACTGATCCTAAAGCTGAAGCATGTCCACTGGCAGAACTCATGACATTGGTATGTGTGCTAGAGTGCATTTTATCTTCATCTAAACTCGATACTGGTGGATAAAAGGTGCCTTTTACCGAGTGACCATGATCTAATAGGCCACGACTGCTACAGGTAACATACATACCTCGGCCAGCTACCACTGACAGCGAAGTTGCAGCTAAGGGATATGCGGATCTGAGCGAGTCATTCTCTTTACACTTATCCAAGTCCTTTTGTGATAGCTTATGAGCAGCGCCAGTATTTAATAATGAACGTGTCCGTGTTGGACCTTTAACCGCTTGTGTATTATTAGCAGATCTGGGACAACTTTTCTTATATGAGGTTCCATTCGTTGTCTCTTCTGATGCCACACCAAAATTGTGTTGAAGTTCACTTCTCGCTGCCGCCTCACTGCTATGAGGTGTGGGACAATTTAGGAAATCATTATTATCCGCCATATCTGGATTACTATAGCAATCTAATGAACTGGGTGAATAGTTGGGCCTTAAGGTTTGTTCATATAAAGTAGAGCTGGAGGTTGTATGCATGTGGGGTGTTGAGTTTCTTTGATGATTTGAATTCGTATCGAATGTACCCGATGACAGTGAGTTAGAGGGTGGGGTTGTTGATGTTTTTGTATTTGATTGTTTGTTTGGCGATTGAGTTCCCGCCACGCCATTTTGTTCCTTTCCTACACCATTCGTTTGTAAGGTGCGTAATTTCGATTGTTTTCTTCGTCGCGGCCGATATTTATAGTTGGGATGTTCGGTCATGTGTATAACACGCAAACGTTCAGCTTCCTCGACGTAAGGCCTACGATCTTGTGGTGTTAATGAACGCCATTTTTTGCCTGAAAGAATTTGTTCGAATAGGAGGATAATAACGAGTCTAAATCTTTTCTTGAAAAGATCTTAGAAATAAAAACAAAATTTATATTAGTTTTTCAAACTTACCCAACATTTTACTTAGATCAGCATTATGTAGATCGGGATTTTCATCGGCCAACTTTTTGCGTTCAATTTTTGCCCAAACCATAAATGCATTCATGGGTCTACGTATTCTAGCTTCTTTGGCACATTTGGACTGATTGCTGCCGACAGCACGAAACTTGACTTCATTGACTAATTTATGGCGATCCAGGAAATTTCGATTCGCCGCACAGATTTCACCTTTATAGTCATAGGCCCACATAGAACCATCCATTAAACTCGCACCACCCACCACGCCTCCAACATTTCCTCCGCCACCTCCAACTGAGCCACCGTATTCTTCAGTATCCGAAGACATGGCAACGGACATCATATTGGGATGCGATAAATACTTATTCAACATAGTCGACGAGGTACTATTTGTGAGTAATGGTGACATATTTGTACCGAGTAAATGCTGGGCCGCAGATGACTGTGTTGGCGGTGGTGTTGAGCCCATATAAGAGTTTGATATTATCACCGAATTGTGGCATTGGGAATTGAGAGATAATGAGGTGGCGGCTGCAACATCTGTCAGGTGATCATTATCATAACTATTGTTATGGGTGGGTGTGGATGTTGAGGTCGAGTGATGAATGGCAGGAGAGTGTAAACTTGAAGAAGAATGTTCGCTACCATGGCGATATTGATAAGAAATTTCACTATTTGTTTCGTGTATCAAACGGCCGTCGGCCAGCAGATTTGTGTGATCATGTAAATCTGCCGAACTATTATACTCCGGAGTACGACTGATGGGTGAGTTATATTTTT